TGACACCAAGGACTCAGCAATGTTGAAAGTGAGTCAGCAGTGTCATCCGGTGAGCTGGAGAGAAACTGTTTGTTGCAAATGCACAACTAAGTCCTTCTGTTGTACTTCTGAGTAACAAAAGCTCTTAAAATATGGATGTGGAGTAAGTAGTTAAGTAGCATTTAGCTGTTGCAAATATGCCACATCTGCCTGGAGAGGGTTAAAGTGTCGTAGTTTTCTGGTTATCATGCCTTTTTCTGCCTCACAACTACTGAACTGCCCTGTTTCCATCTGAATGTTCTGCTTGAACTCTGTTGGACTCTTTGAACCCTAAACCTGCTTGTTCCTGTTCTGTTTGGAACCCTTTACCAGTTTACAGACTCCTGGATCTCTGAGCCTATCTATTCTGAACTATTTCCCTGACCTGGCTGCTTGATCGGCTTGATCCTACCTTGCTCTGAAAGGATGGATCGAACTGTTTAACCAGGTAAGTGACTCTCATGGATAATCTTCTGTCAGATTATCATGGTCACTTACCTATGTTTCTCCCTAAACCTCCCCCTGCAGCCGCTGCAGATCCACAGCTCTGCGTCCTGTAATCTATGTTTAAAAAAACGCTTTGAATCTTCACACTGTCTGACCCGCCTTGAATTTTGGGTCCTAAATTCTGAGCTCTTGACAGATTATCAGAATAAGCAACACATAGTTAGACAGTCACTTACATGATCAGTGTGCCAGTGTTTTTTATGTTATCTGAATGTATTTTAGAGTACTTTATAACCAGTGGAGAATCAGTGTGAAAATTCTTCCTCAGTTTAGCAGCACAAACTTTACCAGTGGTATCCTAAGGGTAAATACTAAATTCCTATATTTAAAACCGAAGGAATTCCATAACATCAATAAAATAACAGTAATATTATTAGTTATATCTTTATCTTTATGAAATTTAAATGCTATTTATTGTAAGAACTTTAAGTTAGCAAATCAACTTTATAAAACTAACTATCCAGACATTAATCTATGAATTTCTGCTTTTTGAAATGTTACCTTTAAATAAAAGACATATTCTTTTATCTTTTA